TGCTGGTGTATCAGTTAATTAAATTTCCCCAGCATGCCTGTGCATAAGTCACCTAGCATGCACTATATTGGTATCTATGCTAAAACATGATCTAGCATTACGAAATTTTCAATTCATGTACAGAATGACAAAGCTGTGTGTTATTTCAGAAGTTAATTATTTCTGTTTCTTGTTGGATCATGCTTCTACAGATCAGCTTTAGACCAAGGGCGTTGTTAGACAAATGGCTTATAGTAAACAAACTGTCTCTTCTATCAGGAAACAGACAGCGGTGGGCTAAGGCAGGATCTAGGCCCTACGTCTGCAGAAGGATTTACAGACTAAGATTTTCGATATTGAGCCAGTAAGATTAGATGCAGATATACAAAAGTACAGCTTGAACTTTTCACCCATGTGGTTCTAACGGCATATCCACACAGATGCAGACTGACACAGGTTTCAACTAGACCGGGCAAAAGCCATCTCTTGTTCGGAGGCTGTACGGTGATAGTACTCATGTGGTGGTGTTTTCAACCTCATCCTGATTCTCAGGAAATAAAAGCACTAGCCTGTCTACAGTTAGCCTGGACACAGGATCTTAGATTTATGTTAAGTAAGATCAGGGTGCGGTAGTCACGGAAGAAACCAAAGGACCCACATGTCTTTTGAAATCAGTTTCACCCGCATGAGCAGTTCACAGTGGCCAAGAAGAGACTGGCGCAACACCCTCCGTCTGGACAAGAACAGGAAGAAAGAATTAGTAAGTCTTTTTAACGGGTATACAGATGCTTATACAAATCTCTTTTGGCAATAGCCTAATAAACACTGAATCACAGAAAAGCCTACCATTTACATCAATACAATAGATAACCAAAGCCTTTGGAAAGAGCAGATGAGGTCATTAGTCCTTCTGTCTGTTCCTCAGTCTTTAATATCTTTACGTCAAGTAAGTCTAATTAAAGCAACATTGAATCTCAGCAGCCTGTAGCTTTCCTTTGTCCCATTTACTGCAGTGCTACCTATACCAATATTCTATTCCAATTTTTTTTAGTTTTTCTCATACTAGGTAGGACACTGAGGCCTAGCAAGAAGAGCTATTTTTAATGACTATTCAAGCCACTAGAATAGTGATCAAGCTTCAGGCTCTATAACCAAAAGCAAATGTCCCAAAATACCCATATTGATAGCACAAAAAAAGGCAGTAACTGCACTTCTGCAAGAGCAGGATATCAGAGGAGAACAGTCATTCTACAGCAGTCCTGGTTAACTGTCCACAAGTACTACATAGTTTCTGCTAAAATCCAGACACCCAACATGTTTCTAGGCTGCTTCCCTTTCAAGTTGTTGGGGTGAAACTGACATGTTTAATTTCTTACTACAGACTTCAATAATAGTTACGCAATCCATACAAGTCATTAGTAAGGACAAGGCTGCTTGTATTACTAATACAACTAAACAAACTGTCCTACGCTGTCCTTAAGACAGCTAGTTTCTATACTCAGCCAAATAACATATCTCACCAAGTTGGTTTTATGTAGCTAGAAAAACTGGTGTAAATATTTTTTTATCTAAGTATGTAAAGCCTGGAGGTGACCAATTTGTAAGGTTTAAAATAACCTGTTGATTTAACTGTTACTCAGAATTATTTGTTCAAGCACTAAGGAAGAAAACTGGGCTTTCTCTAACAAATTTGAGCTTCTCCAGTAGTAGGTGAGCTGCTCTTAAAATCTGAGAGAAAAATTGCATGACCTCTTCTGCTAAAAGAACATCCAGGTTGGAAAAACAAAGTAACCCTGCTATTAAAAGTGTTGATGCCAATTTGGGTCATTTTGACAGAACTTGGCTAGGAATCAAATACACATGCCAGCAAACCTGTTGCAACTTCTGGTGGTAAGGTGGTAATGACTACTTGGGCACAGTGAACTTCTAATCTAGCACAGCTACAGCCACTCTCCAACCATAGCCTTAGAGTGAAGCTCTCAATCCTCTTACTACATTGAACTATTTGTGCAACTTTCTTCTGCTAGAGCAAAATACAAGTGTTTTACTATGACACTTAATTTCAAGACTGCATATCTGTACTTTCTATTAGCATTTATTCTTGGTCTTTACACAAGACATCAGCCTAGGAAGGGCCACAAACTACTTATTTCATATTTTCAATGTACAGTTTTCATTTAATTCTTTGTGAACTTTCTTTTTAAGGAGTTGTGCTCATCTCTGGGCATACGTACTGTTACGTTGACATCTACAATCTTTACTTAACTTTCATCACAACTACGTGAAAGAAAAGCAATATAACAAAGCAGCAAATACACAATCACCAAGTATCTGAAAAGAATGACTCTAATGACTTAAACTGACAAGGGCATACATCATTCAGATAAATGCAACAGAAAGACATTCTACTATGCAAGGTACATTTCAAGTTCACAGCATCACTTCCACAAGTTCCATTTCCTGAAACATATATGTTTATGTGCCTTTAATGGAAACGTGAAGGACTTCCTGTATCATTTCCAGCAAACACATAATTAACTCGTGATCAATCTTTCTTCCTAGAACCAAGTTACATTCTACGTTACTCTTTTCGGCGATACTGGTTTAGTCACTGAGCCAGAACTAAAAGTTCACAAAGACTTTGTATAGATTTTGCCCAAATATTTTGTTGATTAAAGCTTGTCAAAGCTAGTAATTGGTTTAAGGAATGTAGATAGCTTGCTTTTCTCCAAGTAAAAAACCCACCACCAATATTGCCTTTTTAGTAATGTGTTTAAAACTATTTGCTTTTGAGCATTTTTCCTCACATCCATTTTGCTAACATCCCACTGCCATTTTTGCCACTGCATAAATTGTCAAACAAACTTAAGTGTAGTATATACTTAAAATGATTGTGTAGGAGGTAAAACTCAAGTACTTTGTGGATATACCATTTTGTTAAATTAAAACCAAGCATAATTTCAATGCATTTTGTTTCCTGCTCTTGATTTAACTAAGGTTGTATTTGGGTGATAAGCAGTTGACAGTGGGACAGAACGATAAGTGATGTGAAATATGGCACTGATGATGTTGAAAACTTTCAAGGTCACCATTTGCTATGCTGCACTATGAAAACAGTGTTTTTAAATCAGGGATTGTTCATGTATCTTGCAGGTTAGGCTTAAAACTCAGACTTTTGGGAGGGAAAGGAGGTTGCTTAGACAGGTACAAGGGGGAGTGGTAAGGCTAATTGCATTTCAAGCCACAACTCTTCAGGAAATGATCCACGTCATTCCCCATTCCTGTGGTTTTACTACTATGATCCAAGTACATTCACAGAAAACAAAGTTAGCACCCTGAGACGATTTGGCAAGTGCTTTTCTTCTTATGCCAGCTATTGTTCTAGTAACAGACAACCCGCAGGGACTCTGGTTAGCTGAAGTTGAAAAAACACTGGAGAAGAGCAAAGTTAGTGAAATTCTTATTAAATTACAGCTTTTCATGTATACTAAGAGATAGATTATAGGCCTAAAATATTTATAGGATGTGAATGAAAGCCACTTCAGCTGGGAGAAGACAGGTGAAAAAAGATGACTAAAGATCTACCAAGCCAAATGAGCAATACTAAATGCTAAACAGGGAGGCCAGTGAAACCCAGAAAGAATTCTGAATTGTAGCCATTAGACTCACATGGAAACCATTAGAGTTGTGTTTTTATTGAATCAGGGGAAGCCCTAGGTAAGCATATTAAAGATGACTCAGAGGAGTGGCTCTGAACTGAAGCAACTTCTAAATGAGAGTGATGCCAAAGAAAACCCTATCATCAAATACCACAGGCTGAACTTTGGATGAAATACAGAATAGGAAGAACTTTGTTTCCACTTGGAATTAAGAGTAAGCCTGAACACCATTTAATTAGTCCATTTTTTTCTAATTTCTTTTAACTATTGCTATCGAACTATTCAGCTTATTAAGAACCACAAAATATCATAGATTTAAATAACTGCTTAAACAGCTCCAATGCAGTTCATTGGGTACATACAGTCAAACTTTTCTCCCACAAGAAGGAAGCATCAGTAATTCCCCTTCCATTACTCCAGGGCTCGCTCGCTCTCTCAAAAGAACAGCAGCAAACTATTCACATACTAAAATAGACTGACAGCTTATCCCTCCTCGGACAGCGTTTCCTTTATAGGCACGTGAGGAACTACTACACAATGAAGCCTAACACAGCTTTTTTCAGAAATGCTGATTTTGTTAATCATGAAGCAAAGCTATACAGAATCTTCATGCTGAAACTAAAAAAAAAAGTAAAATGTCTGAATTGCGAAATACATGGCTATTGCTGCAGTGGTCTTTAATCTCTAGTTAAAAAGCACTTACGAAAAAGTTGCAAGTGACTTCAAATAGCATTGCTGTTAACTACATTTTTTGCGTCCAGTGAGCCATTAAGCTTCCCGAATGTTCATACTGAAGTTGTGTCCTAAACACTATTTCCTTAATGCTACTAGCTAGATTACCTTTTATGGGAAGTGGTAAGGTCACTGTGACTGTATATTGGGTCTTATCTGATCATGTGCCTTAACCATTTTATGCCAAAACCTGTAATTATTTTCTGGTGTTCTCCACCTGCGTTTCTATTCCCAAATTTTGTAAAATATTAAATAATCACTTCTTGTCACTCTATAAATACAGCGCCTGACCAGAATGAATGACCTGCAGGACATTTTCTGCTACCCCAAGTAAACATGTATTGTTTGAAGGTTTCATATTAATAATGACTAAAAAAAGCAAATATACGCAGTTCACAAATTGACCAGTTTTTTACAGAAGACTTAAGCAGTTACACCTCAAAACTGAGAGCTAATGGAAGCTTTTAAAGACTGTCTCCACATCAGTCAGAAAATTCATAAACATAAACAGGGTTTCATAATCACAAAAGTGAGTAAAAACAAAGTTCCTAAAACAAGACAAAAACAAGCTGAGTGGATAAAGAAGGGACCTGAATAACAACAAAAGTCTAGTACTTCCTTTAAAAATAGCTTTTAATATAAAACTGCATACAAAAATAATCAAAACACCCTACAGTCATCTTAAACAAATGCCCGAGGTTTTCTCTCGTCAATTCCCCGACAATTTGGCAAGCGCTTGTTTTCTCTGTTCTGCAGTCATATACTCACAGGCTTCCAAAATATTTACTATAATTAAAGTCTGTTGAACTGTTTTTGCTTTTACCCATATTCTTCCATTCATTCCCAGCACCAGCTCAAATGGGTACAATTGTGACAACTCCTGAATTATTTCACATTTAGGAGCCAAGAGTCTGTAAACAAGATTAAAAAAAGTCAGAAGAAGTGCTCACGTTTGACAGACACCACATTATTATCACCCAGTAACTAAACCGCAGTACTGGTGTTATGGGAGCTATTAAAGCAAAACCAAAAGGTAAGACGGTCAAATTGCATACGCATGCAAAACAGCAATGCAGTATCAAATTTTTAATTCTGCTCTCATATAAAATATATGCACCTAAAAAAATACAGCACTTGTGAATTTAGTTGTTTTTTCTGATTAGATTCAGAATACCTGACAAACTTCAAGCGAATTGATACTTTTACAAAAACTCTATGATTTAGTAAATTCTAAAACTACACTGTTTGAAAAAGTGACATTTTTGAAGTGCTGCTATTTATAAATTTGACACTAGAGTTAAAGATGTGTCTTTCAAAACATGACTTGCCTTCTTCAAGAGGCAATATTAACAGCAGTATACATAGAATATTTTGTTTTTATTAGGTAACAGCATACTGAAAAACAAAAGTGTCAAGAATATTGTAATACAGCTAGGATTAAATCAAGCTTCAACAGGCTTTCTCAAAGCAGAAATGAACATATCAGGATTTAGCAGTTTACTTGTAATATAGTGTTATTTCTTTACTTGCATACAGACAAAATTTGTAAAACATGCAGAATGGCTGCAAAGATATTTGTATCAGTTCACACTGACTTCTGATTGGATATGTAAACCAGACGAATCATTACTTAGACCCAGGTATGAAAACAGCTGCTCTACATCTCCAGATCACTTTTCCAAAGAACAAGAAAAACAAACAAAAAACCCCACCCAAAAGCAACAAAGCTCTACTACCATTTATCCATATATTCTATTATTATTTAATTGTCACAAAAAACTTGTATTACATTAGCATAAGTAACTCTAAAGTTCACAATACATTTAGAAGCTTACAAAACAGTTATTGGATTAACATGTCAGTTTTAAATGAAAATATCTCATTTTTTTTACCTGTATCCTTATTTCAATGCCATTTATTTTTCTTTGGAAGTCAGAAAATAACGTGTGTTGATGTGGAAAGACTCCTTTAACCAGCTGTCAGCCAAATGTACATCCCCCACTATCCCATCAATCAGAATAAGGACAGTAAACATTTCCAATTTTTAAACTCCAGGGCTGTAGGTACATACCTGAAACCCTTGCTTGAATGTTTGATTTCCCCAGGTCACTACTTTTATTTTCCATACTGGCTTGGCAACCATATCACTTTTTTTAATAGGTCACACACACCATATAGAAGAGCATCTACATCTCAAGGGGGGAAACAAATGCTTCTTCTAGGTCAATATCCATATCCACTCTTCAGTAAAACTGGTGTAAGTACACTAAACCAACCACTTTGATTATAAAATTGCCCACACTGCTCGGAGGAAATAGTTGTGTGAAACCTGTTAGAGTGACTACTTACTTTTCTTTATACTTACTTTCTTATTAGACCTAAGGAAACTTTAAAGAGGAAGCCATCTTGTCCAATTATTCCCATTCCACTTGATCTTCCACTGCTGTCTATACAGACCATTTCTGGTTCCATGTCTTTATTTGCTACAAGGAACTGACCATAAATAAGATCTCCCACCTAAACAAAGCAGTGTCAAAAACCAAAAGTAGTAAAAAAGATCATACTGCACATTTATGAGAAATACTCAGTTAATAAAGATCCCCTCATGAGGCCACAAAATTGTTTTAAAATATTAGTGATAGAAAAATAAACTTGAATTTTACATAGGAATTTTCATTTTCTCTTCTACTAACGGCAACATTCTCTAGGAACAATTATCTTTTATCGCTACTGGAATGTGAAAGATATAAAAAAGTACAGAATTTTATTTCATGGAGTATTCCTCTTTTTTAACTACCAAACACGAATTAGTCTTTCTTCAAGCTTTAAGGGTATTAAAAGTCTAAGCAACCTGCTCTTGCAATCATTTATCAGGACAACAACAACAAAAAAAATCACACTAACCCATCTTGGTTTTCTTTACAGTCTATTTTCACATTCTGGTGATGGCATTTCAGTTGAATTCAGTTTACAGTGTTATCAAAAAACCAACTTATTCCACCAGTACCAGAGAGTGTAAAAGCTTGTTTTAAAACCTTAACTTCAGAGTGCCCTCTTGGATGCACATTACTCATGAACTGCGTTTGCTGCTAGCAGCATTATGGGAAAATTTATACTTAAGGAGCAAAAAAGCCTGCTATATGACAGGTATCAAACCACATTAGTTACATGCTTTCTTAAGAAACCTCAGAAAGCAGACTGCTTAATCGTGCAAAATGCTCCAAGGAGGGCCAATGCAAAAATCACTGCAAATAAACCTGCACTCCTCCTTTTACATGCAGCTTATAAAAATACTCTTACTAAGAAAAACTACTAAAGCGTAATAGAAGCGCGACCAAATGACATCGCTAAAGCATTACCGCCAACACACAAGGGCACTAACCTGCACATTTGGCCTGTTCCTCTTCGTGGCACCTTCAAAGGCCAAGTAGGACAGAGACGCCTGCTCGCTCCCACCGACGTCCAGCTTAAACAGGTCTCCCGCTTTGGCCGTCACTATTCCTATGACGTGGTCGCCCTTGACCGGAACATACTGCAAACGGGGTGTAGTGAACAAACGCTCAGGCAAGCCCGGACAAGACGGGGGCTTCCCGCCCCCCGCACACACCCGGTCCCCTCCGCGCCCCTACCCGCTT